AAAAAAAAGGAAAGAAAACTGGAAAAACGAATATATTTCTGAATGAAAGGCAAAAAAATATGCAATGCAAATGTATAAGCCATCCCTAAGATACTTAGTCTGTATTGTATTACTTAGCAGTAATAGAATTCTTCATTCTTTCAGCTGTACTTTCTGTAAAACCAAGCAAGTTGCTTCCCTTAGTATAAAAGTCAAGGTATTTACAATAAATATGTTTTGAATCTCCATTGAATGTTATTTTATGATCAGTTTTTTTTGTGCTCAGGACTATCGCAATTGTTTTTCATCGCGACCCAATTCTGACTTGGCTGCAAGTTTAAGTAGCTTGGGAAGCCCCGAAATGTCTTCTGTTAAGATGGCTGGGCTGCAAAACGAGGTAGTAGTTGATGAAGACCATGACATCTTTGAGAGTCAAAGTCAATCTGTTCCCACAACGATAGAGGTGAGTTGAGTGTTCAAACATTTCCTTACTTTCTTTTTTCCTTGGATTCTCTTTACTACTTTCATATCTCTTTTTACCTGAGCTTACTTTAGTCATTTTTGCCTTCTTATCATTCTTAGTCCCGTTATTCTTCTTTCATTACTGTAGGCTGGATTCATGATGCCTAAGTATAGCCCTCCTCGTTCCGTTACCTTCACTCCACCATCGTCTAATCCTGTCTCTATTCGACGCGGCCAAAGACACAGTATTAGTGCACCGTCTAGCGCTAACGCTAGTCCTACTGGAAGCTTTCATGGAAGTCCTCGTCAACGTGGGATGTTCCCTAGGGCTCGTAATAGCAATAGTACCTGCAGTCATGGAAGTCATTGGTTTGGTGAGAAACTGTTTCTTTTTTTTTCTTATATTGAAAAATAAACGTATTGTACAAAAAGAACTTTTATCGAAATGGACGCGGTAAATGCATGGAATTGAAAAATTAGTGAGTGTATTTCAATTACATTTAAAATCACCTTAATTTTTGTAGTAAGTCGAGCTCCAGAAGAAAGAGAYAACATTACTGTGGCTTACATTAGTCCTCTTGTGTTGCGCAAAGAAGTTGAAAACATGCTTGAGAATGATGGAGATCTATCACTCCAATCACCTGATATCGTACATCAAAAAGATATCATCTACTGGAACCTAGTTTGGATCTTCAGGCGCTTAGAGCTACCAACACATCTACCTGACCTTTTGTTAACATCGTACCCTGGTGATAAGATTGATAAACAAGAGGTGAGTTTTCATGTCGTACCATGTTTTTAGCTTGTTTCTATTGAATGATGCCAACTCCACAGAATGAGGCTTTTTTCCAGGCACATATTGCTTAGCTCTGCACGTATGTTGATTTTAATCTTCATCGGTATATATTTCCATTTTAGGAACGACGCCCTAAGAACAGTAGCGAGGTATTGRTATCGACAAGTTGGGACGCAGATCGTCAAGAACTTGATTCAATTCCTATGTATGTGTTATGGAACTCTCCAGGTATGCTATCCAATACTTTGATTTATAAGACCGTTTTTGTTGTTAATGTACAAAATATATTTTCTATTCAATAGTTGACCAACAGGAAAACGCCTTCACTCCTCGCAGGTATTTCTGTTGTTTCTTTGAGTCTCTATATGATTGTCTGTCGTTTGTCTTTATTTCTTACAATGCAATTCTCTTTTAGTGTTATGAAGACCGTCATAACGCATGTACAAGCAAATGACGTATTCAACCCAATCAAGATGCTTCTTGATGAGCGAATCAGACAAAGAAAACTTAACCCGCAAATACGATGGTAAGTCTAAAACAGAAATTACTGCAGATCGGACAGTTTTTCAATCGTCATGATTCAACAATACAATTGTAATTCTTAGACTGATGAGGTAGCAAATGCACTGTCCCATCTGGGGGAAGAACACAACGAATTCAAGTTCCCCACGGGCAAAATCTTTTGTTTTATTCCCCAGATGAAGCAGTTTGACTGCAGGGTTGTATAGGGATGGGATTTTCCAATTTGAAGTATTCCCCTYTTTTACTCTTTTCCTCAGGTGTTGTTGTATTATTTGTTTTGTAGGAGTGTCTATCGAGAATTAATGTTCCTGTCTTTGACAGCCTGTGGATCTGATCGCATTGATGTTGGTAAGTATACATTATGGAATCACTGAATCTTTGTGGAACTATTCTATTTCGTGTCTACATTACCCTTTGAGTGCAGTGTCATGCTCATCACAATGGTTTATTTTGTTTATTCAGAGGCATACGATCGTGAATACCGACGAGCCTACAAGCGTCTAAAGGAATCCAAAGACTACAATGATAAACTGATCCTTGAAGATCGTTCACCGACCGCAAAGATCGTGTACTGTCGTCGTTTGTTCAGTCATCCCACATTGCAGCCCAAACTACCACAGTATGTAAATAMCACACCGTTAATATAAATCACCCAGATCTCCCGCACTCTCTGATTATGCTGTGGACTGGTGCAGAGGTGTACGAATGCCGTGATGATCRCGGTAGACTGGGTATGAAATACTGGTTGCGGCCACGTGATAATCCTTACTATGGTAATTAGWTGGTATTGACCTCTAATTAACCCATAGAAACAACGGTGACGTGTCAGGCMGCTATGCGTCACGTGACCGATTAATGGATGAGTGGGATTGGTGCCCACCGTATTCTGTTACCAGTTCCAGTTTCCTGGAAACCAGGTTCTCTGGTATAAGGACATACAAGCTTCTGGATCAAAGAAGCATGAATTTCAAGAATTAGAGATGCAATCATTGTGATCCTCGMAGTTGTATTMATTTCATTTRCTTGGTTGCATAAAGTTGGGCCTGTTTCTTTTGTATGTATCTGTACGAGTTTATAGTTTTAGCTCAAATRCAACAATTCTAATTCCTAGCAACTTATAACTYAGTCTTAGCACAATTTTTAGRATTTATACTTTTGTTGCCATTATTATCAGTATATAGAAACAGTCATTCACTATTTAAATGCTTTGCAGTGATTGTATATATTATAGTTTCTAGTATGGAGTCCTGAAGTCTATTCAGACGTCGAATTCAACCATGACTTGCCCTTRCAGGCATTTTGAGTCTCCAAGCAAATTTTGCCATTACCTTTTAACCAGTAAACATCCTGTAAACTTAATGTGCTGAGTTCGATACTCATAAAATTCGACGTCTRAAAAGGTTTTCAAAGGAACATTAGCCCCATAATGAATTAAAAGTGCCGTGTCCATGCATGGTTTCAGTCCKATGGTAACAGACTACTAGATTTACTGGAATATCTTGTTCAAGCCGGTTAAACACGTTTTAATGATATTTAGCCTGACATTGATCAGTTTGATTGTACAGTACTGATATTAATATCCAAAAACAAGATTATTTAAACTGACTACTTGTATTGTGATTAAGTAATACCCCGAGTAAGAACTATAGAAGCAAACGGCAAAGGAATACAAGAAGGTGCTAATTGTGTATTGTATAATCCATCCATCCCATTGGTTTAAACAAGAAAATCTGCTATAATTTCACAAGTTAGCGCATTTTCTAATATTTTATTTAATATCTGATTCCGACTTCATGAAAGCTTTCTTTAGCTATAATATTGAGTCAATTCTATGTGGGGAACATAGCAAATTAGAAGCTTCTTTTGGCTATTGTTTTGAGTGCTTATGATTGGATAAGAGGTTTTAATACAAAAGAAACTTTGTTTCAAAATGGAGTTTATCCACATTTTAGTTCAAAAATGCGTTACCCATGGGTTGATATATAATCAGTGTGAAAGCCAAGACATTTGTATGTGGGGAAGTTGCAATGCCACAGAACAATAGAGAGTTCTACAGTTCTTACGCGCATTGTTACTTAATACTGATCTAAGAACATCTAATGATTTAACGATGTCTGATTTTTATACTTGCATTGCTACCTACCGAATCTACTGCACAACTGCCTTCAATTGAMCAACTGCTACTTTGAAAATCAGGCCGAAATCCCCCTCCCTCCACCACCCTCGTACGAAGCATTTTAACATAACATAAGTGTGTCCTGAAATCGTAGATTAACATTGTTAATAGTACATTGTTGTTTCATCATCATTGTAAAATGATTTTCTACATCTATTCCACAATGATGTGCACACCATCACGCGCCAATGCGCAAATTGTCGGACGTAAACTTGTAAGATCAATAGAGGGAGGAGTGCCTCCCCCCTCCCGTATTCTTCACTAACAGACGCTTGTGCTCTGTCTTCCTTACTACTACTTCTTGATTTACTATCTTCCTAATGTTTACTATTAACAGTAAGCCATTATCAATTAACTATTGATATATTAATATCAATAAGCTATAATTGTTATCATTATTTGAAGTTCTGCAATAGACCAATTTGGCCTATTTTACTCAGCGGTGTTCTTTCCYGGATGATTAGGTGTTGTGACATCTGTCACGTCATCCAAGTCCTTACAATAATACCAGGACAGGAAGTAGAACAGCAGAGATAACACTGSAAAATAGAATGATTGATTTTAGTCTAAAAAAAACGTGGTCTATTTTTTGTCTGAAAAGACGGATGGCTATATTGGAAATCCTAATGTCTAGCGATACATTAACATAGAATGAGAGTAGAATTACCTTTGAGAGGTATTGCATATGACACGATGATCCAACCTAACTTGTCATAGTCATAATTCAAACAATTTCCCCGCTGACCGCACTTAGTTTTCCATAGCGAACAGGTTTGGTCGATGACGTAACCGATGATGATTGGCCCAGGAACTGAAGCCATTAGCTTACTTAAAACAAACTGAATTCCTAAGGCATAAGACCGCTGRTTATCAGGTACAGACCTAAGTACGAGAAGAGATATGTGACAACAAGAACGTCATACTCTATTTGACGACAGTGTTGCTATAGTGATAAGCTTAAGTATGTGTGACGTCAGATTTACCTAAACATAACTATCTCGCTTGGAATACTATCACTGACTCCAATGATCGTCATAGCAAACAAGATTCCAAAGAAAAGGTAGGAATAGTCACACCTCTTCTTACACATTCCCGTCTTTANATTTGGCCTATTTTACTCAGCGGTGTTCTTTCCCGGATGATTAGGTGTTGTGACATCTGTCACGTCATCCAAGTCCTTACAATAGTACCAGGACAGGAAGTAGAACAGCAGAGATAACACTGCAAAATAGAATGATTGATTTTAGTCTAAAAAACGTGGTCTATTTTTTGTCTGAAAAGACGGATGGCTATATTGGAAATCCTAATGTCCCTCTAGCGATACATTCAAACAGAATGAGAGTAGAATTACCTTTGAGAGGTATTGCATATGACACGATTATCCAACCTAACTTGTCATAGTCATAATTCAAACAATTTCCCCGCTGACCGCACTTAGTTTTCCATAGCGAGCAGATTTGGTCGATGACGTAACCGATGATGATTGGCCCAGGAACTGAAGCCATTAGCTTACTTAAAACAAACTGAATTCCTAAGGCATAAGACCGCTGGTTATCAGGTACAGACCTAAGTACGAGAAGAGATATGTGACAACAAGAACGTCATACTCTATTTGACGACAGTGTTGCTATAGTGATAAGCATAAGTATGTGTGACGTCAGATTTACCTAAACATAACTATCTCGCTTGGAATGCTATCACTGACTCCAATGATCGTCATAGCAAACAAGATTCCAAAGAAAAGGTAGGAATAGTCGCACCTCTTCTTACACATTCCCGTCTTTAGCACCGACGTTACGTCAGTTTCGATATGAGGTGCACAAGAGCAGTTTGTAAAGAAACCCTGAAATAATACATTGTTGATCAGTAAAGAAGAAATCAATAACGCTGAGTTAATTGCTCGATCGTTGTGGTAACAGAAAATACTTGTAGTATTGCTTCGAGGATATACTGACCTTTGTTTGATTCTTCAACGGACAGCCAGCGTAGCACGGAGAGAAGTAATTGACACCACCATYRCCACAAAGTGGCATRTATTTTGATGTCGTACATTGACAACCTTCATTGCACGCGCTKTCTAAACCAAGACTRGAGGTGCTATAAGATAGAATGTAACATCTCCATTTAAACTACTTRCCTTCACTCTACATTCCACCAGGTCAKKCTTACCAATAACTAAAACACCCCTCCTGAATTTACTCAACCAAACAGTCCCATTCTCTCCTCCTGCTCCCCCTTMTGCCTCTACAGTCCTMTTTTGCCTTTCTCAAAAGCCATCCTCGATCTCGCCAACAGAACTTCCTCTCCCTTCCAATCTGCAGTTATTAAARCCCGTCCTCCGATCTGCCCTGTACGCCGTGCCATGCTGTCAAACTGCCTCTAAACTAGAACCCTTCCTTCTCCAGTTGTTTCTCACTCCACCAATGTCCCTACTTCTCTTCTGCGTTACCCGCAGTCCAACCCACYCTTATCTTTCTCCTCCTCCCACAGGTTGCTACCGCTCTCCCTCTTAACACAAAACKAGAATRATAGACCMTGCAYTYTATAACGTTATACCTGTTAGTGTAAGGAACATCAACACCTGCATATCGTGGGTAGATGCATCCAGGAACCAGAAGTGATAAGATCGACAATGTAAATATGTTGACAAAGAAAACAAATTTGGCTGCTTTACGACACGAGTCTCGTAGACTAAGGAACCGGACGACTATACTTCCTGAAACAAAGATTATTATCATGCATTGGATTCTTATAGCAATGATCCATGTCGAGAGAGACTCAGAAGGCGCATTAATCAATATGGGAAACATACAGACACAAGAGGACCTACCAATCCAGAGTCCAATATTGCCACCAACTAGAGTCATAATGGACATCATGATCCCCGCCAAAAACTGTGGCGCTCCATAGCGATCCACAAGGAACTTGAAAAGAAAAGGACCGGCGCCATACCAAGCGAAAGTACTGAATAAAACACAAACAAAGATATCCACCAATTACCAACTGACCTGTCAAACTTGACTTCCTGAAACCTACAAACCTACCCTACAAACTACTAATCAGAAGTCACCAAACCGCTGACCTACCAATCAGCTGCCTAAGTATAAACTAACAAATCCACAAGCACTCACCCAGTAATCATGCCAGAGACATGGAATATATATATTTTGTTGGTGTCATAGTATGCCTCCGAACGATGATTGTTAATAGACATTGATTGACATTTGATATAGGAATTAGACTTTATGTAAATTACTCTCTCTTACACTGCTTTTACAGAGCACGTGTACATGATCACATATAACTTGAATTAAAGCAATATAACTCACAGCTAAAGTTCAACAGTTGGTAAAGAGTAGTCTAGTAGCAGGAATCATGTCTTTTAATGATCCATGGATAGCGTTATTCTTCTTTATAATGTAACCATTCTGAACAGCCTCATTGCGCATGCGTTGTGAGCCTGGTAATTTGCTCGGGAAACCAAGAACAAGGAACCCAAACAATATAAGAACAAAGCCAACACCTAATGGACCTAGCCACCAGGCTCCTATCCAACGCTGATCTCGCGGATGAAGATGAACACCTGGAGGCTAGGGACGAAATTTAAAAAAATATAATTATAATTGTTTTGTTTTTGTTTAATTGTACTAATTTTATACATTATAACTATAAAGGACGCATGCCTTCTAAAATCAATACAATTTGGTGGTAATTCAGTTCATTAATTAAATGATCAATAAGTTTTCGCCGGTAGGTCTGACTAATCATCATAATCATCATCATAATTTCACCTTTCACTTACTTAACTTTATCATAAAACGAGTTATCAAATCCATGCATTACCTGCGATAGTTCCACATAAATCTCCAACAGTTTCCCGCCAATCAAAGATCCAAAACTTGGACCAAGAACAAAGGAAGTGAAAAAAATATAAACTAACGTGTTTGGGGTGGACGTTTTCATCAAGCCAAGCAGGTGCTATAGTCAGCATWGGAGCCGAACCTATACCTGCAAGAAGCTGAGAAATTACAAAAACCGCATAGAACGTCGATGAAGATGATCTTGAATTGCATGTCAGGTCTTGCGACATGGACGAATGGTTCAAGAAACAATATGGAGGACGACCAGTCAAAACTGAAAGATAGAATAGGAATAGCTAAAAAGCACTGGAGTAAATCTACCTACACTAAAATATGCAAATTATAGTGTTTCGAAGAATTTTTAATGATCCTCAAAAGTGATGACTTTCAATTGACAATGCAAGAATGACATTTTTATCATATGCTAGAGCTTTTTTTAGCTTTTTTAGCGCTTTTTTAGTCTTTACTAAAATAACTTGTTGTATTGTTTTATATGATAGGAAGGTGTTTGCAATATCACAATATCATTTCTGGCATGATTGTATTTGACAAAACTAATAAAGATTTTGACATTTTCAAAACAAAAAGGTGACAATTTCTGTTGTTAAAATTACTATCATGATATCTTGTAGAGTCCACATTTAATAACAATAACCATAAGGAAATGAATTCAAAGTCTAAAGTCYAATATGTATATCCCTTACAGCACCATGTGTACATGTACATATACATACATGAAGGTTATACCTAGCCTCTAGATCAAAATAAAACATAATAATGGATGTATGCCAACATTGACAGCTAAGTAATTCATGTRTACACATATCTGACCTCTACAACAGCTTAAAGCAGTTGATCAAAGTAATGTTCCTGAGCAGACAAAAGAAAACAAAATGGATCAATGAACATAAAGACAACAATTGCCACACCTTAGTTTTTTGTGCACATAGTATCCAGTATTGTTTTGATAAGTACAATATTGTAATCTATACTGCATCAAAAAATATGTTTCAGTTTAAAAGTTGAGTTAGCTGTTGATATAGATAAAATATGTATTATACTT